GGAGGAGGAAAACTTGGAGTGCCACACAAGCTGCTAAAAAGAATTCAAAAAGCAAGTTGTTAATGAAATGTTAAATGTCAAATGTGGGCTAACTTGAGAGTACAGAACCACTGGTAGCTGCAGATGCAACGATACTTTGCACGCACTTCTGAGCTTCTTCTGCTGGACCTTCACCAAGCTGCTACATGAAAGTCAAAATCCCACCAGAACTGCATTAATTGCAGGCTGAGGAGAGAAAGACAGCAAGCTCTCTTCCCCACAGGGCAGAGGTGAAAACCTATGTGGCTGGGATAAATGAAAGCGAAAACCTTCTACCTCTAGGGGAGGGTCAGGAAACCCTCCTGAGGCCAGATGATAGAGGAGACTAGTGCTAGAGAAAGGGTAGGACTACTGAGAAAGCCCTCATTCTCAAGACCCAGGACCACAGAGCCCGCCTAAGCCTGAGGTAGATGAGGACCACAAAGAAACCCCCTGATCCCGTTACACAACTAGCAAGCCCTAATAACAAGCAACAGCAGTTTGCTGCTGAGGGAATGGGTGAGTGTGAAGACTCCTGGCAGGCACTCAGTGAAGGTCTAAAGCTGAGGATGGAGGAGGAACATTGAAGAATAACCCTCCAGCAACCCAACCCTCACCCCAAGCTCCAGTGAACACAAGAAGAGCTTGAAAGCAGTAGTGCACTGAAGGCGATCATAGTGACAAGGAAACCCAGACTCAGCTCAGATTCAGACTAGATTCACTGAACCTTATATACTGACAGCTGAACAGGGGAGACAATGTACCCATTTCCGGACATCATTTCAGAGGCAAGCACACAACTACTTTCACTTTTTTACTTTTTTTCAGAAGGTTGTTTGGTTTAGGAAGTGAGGCATGGCATGGCATGAATACTTCTTATCTTAGTCTGTACTATCCTACACATAGTGTCTGGCAATCAGTAAACAATTATAAAATAGAAAAATGTGAGGTAAAAAGGTTTTGGAATCAGTGGTTTTATGAGCAAATTCTACCAAATCTTTGAGGAACACAGAATTTTGCTATCATGTAAGTTATTCAAGAGTATTAAAAACTAGGAAGGTGGGGAACTAAATATCAATATTAAAGAGAATTTCATGAAGGAGACACAGAACCCACTTTGCATTTACAAGTCACTGGCCATCATGCCAACAGGTACAAACTCAGGCAGTCATCTGTGCTGGCTTGAGGCTTCTGGCCACAGAACTAGGATCTCTTTTCAGTTTTCAAGGTTCCACAAAGAAATTAAATCTCTCCTGGCTTATGTGTGGATTAAATTGGAAGCTGAACTTGCTCTAACACAGAGTTTGTCTTCTTGTTTGGTCCACGGACATGACTTAATTTCCTCACCAAAACTTTACAGAAACAGACAGCCAGCCCATGAGCCACAGTTTGCCAATCTGACTTTTTTTAAATGTTGTTTGGAAATATGGTTTATCTTGATTAATAAGTTTTTGGCATCCCCATAAATTCTACATTCCAGGCCAGTGCCTCGCATGTCTTATCTGGCTCTGGCCTTGCTCAGAGTCCTCTGTCCTAGACACTCACCAGGTTCATTCCAGGGGGAGTGTGAGTCTTGTGTGCTGCTCTAATATCACTCTACCCACAATGCCACACATTTGCTGAGAAGCTGTTTGTCATCTGCCAATCTAAAAAAGCCTTCATTTAAATTTCTCTGAGTGAGTGAGGGGGAAAGGAGAGATGGAGGAAAAGGCTGGAGAGCAAAGAAAACAGGGAGGAGGAGGAGGAAGTGGCCAGTGCTCAATGAACCCACACGTGTGAAAGGCTAATCCAGAAATCACTCACTAATCACCACCATGAAATCAGACCTGATGACAGGGCTCACCACGCACATGCTCACCTTCCCCACCTCCCACAAAGCTTCACTTCCTAAACCAAAGTGACCTTCTGAAGTCTGGCTGCTCTGTCTCAACTCTTGGCCCCATGCCTCTGCTATGCAACAGCTTCTCCACACCATTAGCTTCCCTCTAAAGTCTCCATCTACTTCTTATCCAGAATAGTAAGGTTTTCTTATTTTCAAGAAAAGGGTACTGACCTCTGGGTCTAGTAAATAAAGAGGGAGTGCAGAGAGCTGTTAGAAGTTCCAAAGCAATTATGTATTTCACAGGAGTGTGAAAGGAGGTGATGTTTCAGGGGCTCTGACATGAAAGACAGAACAGCGCTTGGAACTCGGCTGTACTCAGTGTTCAGAATATCGCTCATGGGTCAGTCATGTCCAAAGGAACAGAGTGTTGAAAGAGTAATTACGTTTTAAGATAGTTTGGCTGTCAACCACAAGTAACATGTTACTGCTTTCCTGCCAAATCAGGCATTTATGCTGATTCCTGAATTTTTAAGGATGATAATAATAAATAAATAAACTGGTTTAAAAGCAAGACATTATTTCCTGTATGGATCTCTTGTGAAGGGGATGGGAATTGGGGTAGGATTACTTTTGGCTTGATTTCCACCAGATCCCAGAACATTTTGCTATAGAAGGTTGGCCTCTGTCCATTCTACTCCCAGAGTATCCATTTCCCTGTAAGTCTCACGTTGTCTATATGAACTTAGGTGAATCATCAATCTGTCTTGCAGTTTCTCCACCTTTAAACAGAGTCAGTGTTACTGACCCTCAGTCTTACACTCAGGGCTTGCTAAGTGGGAAGATGGACAAGGGCACGAAGGTTGGCCAGGAGTGAAGGCATACGCAGAAAGTAGCACAGGAGCCCAGGCAAAGGCCCAAACCTCTCCCCAAACCGACTCCCTAAGATATTGTTGGTATTTGGCTCTTTATTGAATTCTTTTTCTTCTTCCCCAGCCCTGAGGGTTTGGCCTGCTTTTCTCTTCTGTTATTACAACTGCTCTTCTTCTACGGTTCCTGCCCCTTCAAGACTGAGGAAGAGTGGGGTGATTTCTCTCAGTGTCTGTGGTATTTCACTAACTGAGGCAAGCACACAACTACTTTCACTTTTTACTTTTCAAAAAGCGTTTCACTGGTCTCACTTCTCATGATTGTGGGAAAAGAGGGCATACCATGAGTAACAGGGAAGCCACAACAAATAATGATTTTTTTTAAAATCTACAAGTCACTGGTTTTAGTTATCATTGGTCATTTCTCAGTCATCAAAGGGGAATAATGCTCATAGAGCAGTGATGCTTGTGGGTCTGAACTGAAGCAGAGTCACAGTAAAACAAAACTGTAATTAGTTAATAATTTATGTATTGAATAATAAACACAAATATGCAACAAGTAATTTCAACATGAATGTCTCAGTCATTACAAAGGAGACAAATGGTTCCCAGCAATACTTGATAATTCTATACTGATTTTTTCACCTTCCTCATCTACTCTCTTCATATACTACAGGTTCGCCTATAATCTTTCTCCTCCATGCTCTGCTTCATCCCCGATAAACTCCTCAAACACTGTCCATTTTATATAAAGCTTAAGTACAATAACTAAAGTCTTTGCATCATCCCGCTGCCTCCCAGGTCTTGCTTTCCTACCCAATTTCTCACCAAAGGCAAACAAACAAAAAACCACCACCACCAAAAAAAAAAATACCCTGCTCTGGAATGACAGGAGCCTCCTTAAAGGGCACTGGAGAGGGAGAGCCCATCTGACAAAATACAAGGCACTTATTATCCTTACTGAGAATGGAAGTGGGAAGGCAGAGATCCTTGCTCAGATAGTCATGTGATTTCAGAAACTAGGCCTGAACTGTCATATGCTCAGTACCATTCATCCTCTAGATTGTTTTAAATCAAGAAGCCCAACTAAAGGTGGGCAGTTCTCATTTGGAGTGCTACCCCTCCTTATTCTAACACTTAATAGCTCTCAGGCTCTACAATTTACCTGTTCTTGAGACCCAGCTCCTAATGCAGACCTTTCATTTGGGAATCCTAAGCCTTTCCCAGTTGTTTGGATTACAGTATTAATGATAATTACAACAGTGGTAAGCTGACTACCACTATAAAAGACTATAGCTGACTTGGATGGGGTACTTCCTGTGTGTCACGTATTGTGTAAACATTTAACTCTGACTGTCTTCTGTGGTTTCCAAGTCCTAAAGACCTGTTTTAGTTATCAACTGCTGCCTAACAAATTGTCACAAAATGTAGCTTAAAACTAAGTGCTTCAGGGTCTCTTAATTGAGGTTTTGCTTTGGTATAGTCATCTCAAGGCTCAGCTAAGCAAGGATTTGATTCCAGATTCACATGGTTTTTGGCGGGGTATAGCTCCTCACTGGCTGATGGGCTAAAGACTTCATTCAGTTCTCCACTAACTGTTGGCCAGAAGCTGTCCTCGGTTCCTTGTTATGTGGACCTCTTCAATATGAAAGCTTCCCTTTTTAAAGGGTACAAGCCACAAGGGCAATGGAATCTGCTAGCAAGACAGAAGTCACCATCTTTGTAACTTAATCATAGAAGTGACATCTGATCACACTTGCTGTATTCTGTTGGTTAGAATCAACTCACTATGTCCATCCACACTCAGTATGTCCAGCCCACACTTAAGAGGACATGGATATCAGGAGGCAGAGACCATCAAGGGTCAATAGCCAAAACAGAAATCTATCAATCCTCAAGACCAACTGGGGAAGGGAGAAAGGATTGTTTTAAGAGTTCAAGGATAATATGAAGAGTAGAGGATGAAACTAATTCAAGATAAGGACTGAAGATAATCAAGGTAGAGGATAAGAGGCAAAATGGGAAAGTGCCTTACATCACTTTTGATCCAGTGTCTTTCTCTTTCTCATCTAGCCCACAATGCGAAGGTAGAGCTGATGAGATGTGGGTGTGAAGGAAAGGGCGCATGTGGAACTACTTAGGGCATTGCACAAAGAACTGCTTTATCCATTGGGAAAGTAAATGGAAAATAATAGTAATGGAGGAGGGGGTAGAGGAGTAGTGAAGAGAAACTGAAGATAATCTATCTGGACAAAAGTGACCCAGAGTCTCTCTGGGCAAAGGAAAGGGCGCATGTGGAACTACTTAGGGCATTGCACAAAGAACTGCTTTATCCATTGGGAAAGTAAATGGAAAATAATAGTAATGGAGGAGGGGGTAGAGGAGTAGTGAAGAGAAACTGAAGATAATCTATCTGGACAAAAGTGACCCAGAGTCTCTCTGGGCAGGAGACTTTTGGCAGGAACATGCCAAAGCATCAAATAAAAAAGGAAGGAATCAGGGCATTTCAACATTTGGGCCCCAGCAGTGGGAAAGATAAAAAACCAGAATCAGAGCAGAAGTCTCCATCCATCCGCAGAATCCCCCCAGACTCCCAAGCTCTGTCTTTCACAGTCCTTCTGTCCAGCACTCTCCCTCCTGCTGATGCTCATCTTGTCAATAGAGAAGGAATCAGGAAGTTCACCCCATGGGCTTTTCTCTTGAATTTTTTCAGTGTCATCATGTGAGGGCAATAAAGGGAGATTCATTGAGAGACAAGACAAACCTGTTAAAATCTTTAAAAGTGTCTTTTTTAGTACAGAGAAAGAAAGAAGAAATCAGAAAAGGACTCCTTGCCAAAGCACAAAAACAGTTCATCAGGAATTCTAATTTCTCTAGTGTTAGTGGGAATTACCCACCAACGAGATTAAGAGACCAGCACCCTTTTAATCAAAGGATAGGGTAAATAACTGGGGTCAGCTGAGGGTCCTTCCCACTGAGAAGAGCAAGGCAACTGTGAGAAGTCACTCCTTCCTGCAGTGCACAATGCTGTGTTTTTAGGTTAATCCTCTAAGGATATTATAGTTACTTTGAATGGTTAATGAGTAGCTTCTAAATGCCTGCTTCATTTAATTGTCCAAAGGCCAGTTGGTCCCAGAGTGTATAAAGCTGTGAGCCAGCTAATGAGAGCATTCCCTCTGAGCAAGGGAAGCTGGGGAGTGGCAGGGTCAGGGAGCTGGGTTCCAAAGGAGCAGGGATGCAGAACAGAACTGGTCTAGCTCTCTGTGCCCTTGTCCTCCTGATGGGCTTCCTGACGATCTGCCTGGGGGCCTTCTTCATTTCCTCAGGCTCCATATTCAGCTGTCAGGGGCACCTAATCCTGGCCTATTTGTTTCTACCTCTGGGGTTTGTGATCCTTCTGAGTGGAATCTTCTGGAGCACCTACCTCCAGGCAAGCGAAAGCAAAGGAGTGTTCAGCCACGTGCTCAGACAACACCTTGCTGGTGGGGCCCTGCCCCTGGCCACAGTGGACAGGTATGTGCTGAGCTGCCAGAGGACGGAGAAGGGCTGAGAAGGGGTGGAGTTCTAAAAAAGCTAATCCCACTGTGGAGCAATTTACATGTCCCAGGGGGCTGTATGTCTAGAACTAAAACTTTATTGTCAGGGAATTATCCTAGAGTTAGTTACTAGGGAGAATGCTGCTGCCTCTGTGGAAAACCATGAAGTAGAGGGAATTTATCTCAGAGAAACAATTTCCCGGGCAAATTGAAAACCCACTTAAGTCAATTTAAGAGGCCCAACTCAGGTTCTTCTGTTGTATCTTGGGAACTGTCTTTAGAGGCAGGTGATGGTTACTTATTCCCCAAAACCTGGCTACCAGTTTATAAGGAAAGCAAGTCCCAGACCAAATTCTGCCACACCACACACGACGAAGCAGGCATAAAATCAGTCCCATAACCTCTTCATGACCTCAGTGTAGTCCCAGCTTATTGTCCTTTTAGATGCTCTCATCACACCTTGCATGAAAGACTCATTCAGTCAAGGAAATAATATTCCCAAAGTAAGATTACCACCTCATACCCATTAGGATGGCTATTATCAAAAGAGCAGAAAACAACATAGCAAGGATGTGGAGAAACTGGAAAACTTGTGCACCGCTGGTGGGAATGTAAAATGGTACAGCCACTGTGGAAAATGGCTTAGAAGTGCCTCAAAACATTAAACATAGAATTTTAATTTGATCCAGCAATTCTACTTCTGGGTATATACAAAAAAGAATTGAAAGCAAGGACTTGAGTAGATAATTGAGCATTAATGTTCATACCAGCATTCTCCACAAGAGCCAAAAGGGAAATAATTCCTATGTCCTTCAGTGGGTGAGTGGATAAACAAATGTGGTATATACATACAGCTGAGTATTATTCAGCTTTAAAAAGGAAGCAAAGTCTGACATATGCTACAACATGTATGAACCTTGAAGACATTATGTTAAGTGAAAGAAGCCAGACACAAAAAGACAACTACTATATGATTCCACTTCTCTGAGGGACCAAGAATAGTCAATTCATAGACAGCAAGTAGAGTGGTTGCCAGGGCCTGGGGGAGGAGGGAATGGGGATTTAGTGTTTAATGGGTACAGAGTTTCAGTTTGGGATAATGGAAAAGTCCTGGAGATGGATGGTAGTTAGTGATTGTTACACAACAGTATGAATGCACTTAAGGCCATTGAACTGTACACTTAAAATAGCTAAAGTGGCAAATTTCATGTTATATATATTTTACCATGAAAAAAAATTCACTTAACCTTATGGTTGGTGTCAGAGAAACAAAAACCTCCTAATTCTTGGCTGAACACAAGACCATTTAGGGATAAAACCTCTTGCATCATCCTAAAGGTACAGGTTGCAAGACTTCATAAATAATTTTGCCCTCTTCATCTAAAATAACTGAGCTACTCAATGTATCTTGAATATAAGTAATTTTACCCAGGATGGTTGATTTTTGACATTATTATGGTAACTAATAAGATACTAATTACAATAATCAAAACCAGTTTCCAGTGTTTATTCTACTAACTAGCAAGGTCTCTGGGTTTGATAAAAAACACTACAGTAACTGAAGTGATTATAGAAGCTGATTCTTTCTAAAGTGATGATTTTTTCTTATATCAATGTTAAGATGATTGTCTCCAGAGTATGAATTCCTGATAAGTGTGATTACCTTTATGATGTACCTTAATTTACTAACACATGCATAACACCGTCTGTGCTGAACTACTTTAAAGTAGATTAAAGACATCATGACATGCCCCAATTACTGTCTCTTTCTGCTGCATCTAATTGATACCTGGCCCATTCACAATGGCTAGAAAGTCAATCAGTGCAAAGGTACATTTCTCAGAAGCATCTGCATTCAAAATGGGAACCCAGGTAGAGGTTTCAAAGCAAATGGGTCTGCAGTGGTAGATCAGGGCACAGGCAGTGTGAATTGGTGTTGGGGTGTGTGGGGATTGGGAGGGTGGACGGGATTTGGGGGCAGGCGGCAGTCACCCCAGAGCTTCTTAAATCACCCCAGGGAACAGCTCACCTGTCTCTGACGTCTTTACGCATGTGCCCTGTGACACCACTTTGGCTCTTCCAAGTGAAGTCTGAGATGTATGACGTACAGTAGACAGCTCCTTCAGCTGTTTGGCTTTGGGCCTGCTAACATTTGGAACAGAGCTGTGGCCACAAATGGCCGTCTCTGTTCTGTTGTGGTTACACACCATAAACACTGACTGCAGGCACGGGAAGGATATTCTCTATAAATACACAACTCAGTAAAGCTCACCCTCTCTCTTCCTCACCTCCTTGCTACCTCCAATCCCATTCAAGATGGAGAGCCAGAAGGATATAGCTATTAGCTACGCTGGGCGAGATTACCAAGAGCCTCAGGTCTGCGTGAATGACTCCTTTAGCCATTAGCTTGGAAGGGCTGCAACTGAAATCTACATAAAGTTGTCAGTTGAAATAGTTTGAGCAATGTGTCTTTTTTCTGGAGACTAGCTGCTAAGACTCGGAAGAGTGATAGGAAAGAGAGAAGCATGTGCTATAGTTCAGGAATCTGCACAGAGCTGGCTTTCATTCATTATTTTGTTGGCTGTGAGGATCAGAGACAGTGAGCGCAACTGAGTGGAAGATGATGTGTGTGAATGGGAATAAGGATGTGAACAGGCTGAACTGGGTAGAGAAAAGTTCCAGTTTAGGTCCCCATGTCCCCTGCCCCCAATAAGGAGCTCACCCTGAAAGTCCCTGGTGCCAGTGAGTAAGAGGGGAGAGCTTGCAATAACCCACTGGAAAAATATGACAATAGGGGGCCACATCCTATTCCTGATGAAGAAGGTTCTGCTGAAAGAGCACCACATTAAAAGAAAAAAAACTGGTGATGCCAGGGAAGAAGTACATCTGTTTCAAAATCAGTGTTTCTTAACAGTTTAACTTGACACAGTGTGATTTGAGAGAGGCAGACATATGCCTCTTTGGCATTAACCACTTAAATAACACATGTATGTTTGTGGCATTTTGTCCTCCAGGCCAAATTTTTACCCCCCTGCTTATGAAGAGGATCTTGATGCTGAAAAGCAAACCTGTCCTGCAGAAAGAGAGACCTTGGATGCTCCTCCACCTCTGTACACAGAGATGGGCCTTGAATCTGAGGATGGAAATGATGTCCACCCAGAGGCTCCACCACCCTATGTTGAGTCTATAGCAGACAGGATGCTGACAGGCAAAGCCCAGAGTGTTGGAACTGGAGAAATTCAGCACTTGTGATGCCTACTCACGGGATACAGCTGCTAATAATAAATGCTGACAAGGGACTGTGGAGGAGGGAAGGCACATTGGGGACCCTGCATGAGAGCTCTGAGTGACAGCTATGCAATTCCACAGGTGTGCGTGCCTGAGCAAATCCAGAATGGGGGCCTTGGAAGGGCATGGTCAGCACTAAGCAAACATTTCAAAGGATTTACACTTATCTCAGCCCAGGTGAGCTTTTGGACTGCAAAAGTGTTGTTGCGAGAGCTCTGCTCCACAGAGGCTTTCTGCTTACAGAAACTCCCCTCCCATCACCTCAGCCAACAGGGAGGAACAGGTGTGCTTGTCGCAACAGCCACGTGCCTTATGTACTATGCCTTCACGCCTTTGTGTCCTCACTCAATAGTCACAAAGGGGAAGTACACTGGAAATGAAGGGACACTGTCATTTAATGTGGGTTTTATTGGCTGGTTTCATAGTTATCCCCATTTACCTTATTACCATATTGACACAGTAATTCACATCGTGGGAGATTTGCCCTTGGAACCCATGAATTTTATTTTTGTATTACTTTGATTATGTGTATTTTATTTTTGTGTGAAAGTGACTAATATTTATTTCAAAATATTTCAAACACAAAATTTTAAATGAGTGTTTTAAAAATGGGTTGATTACACAAGCAGATCTGATAAGATTTCTCCAAGACTCAAGATGAATATTTAAAAATTCATAATTCAGAAAAAAAAACATACTAACCATGGGCTATATTAATATTGAATTTGACTTAAATCTTGAAAGATTTTAAAATATACATATATATATATATATATATTTCCCCCTGTGAATCTCTAGAATTTGAAAGAAAGAACACTCACTATATTGTAGTACTTTGAGTATTAACAGGAAATTCTTTGTATCTCAAGATACATGCATTTTTAGACTTGGGACATTTATTTTAAAACCTAGTGATTCCTCTTCAACTTTATTATATTTTATTATATGTTTTAATACAAAAGGACAAATTGGGTGGCAGGGTGTGGGAGGAGATGCAGCCTGCTTTAGAGCTTGTATAAGAACCACTGTATCTCTGGGTCTCCATTTCCTCTTCTATCAAGTGAGGAATTTATGCTGGGATTAATATCTAACAATTTTGGAATTCATTTTATATAGCAGACTTTGTGCTATGAAATTTTTATGCTTTTTATTGAGCTTCAGAGATAGGCACTATGGTTATTCCCACTTTACAGATGCATAAACTGAGACTGAGAAGTTAAGGAACTTTCCTGTAATAGGAGGATGAAGAAAGGTCCACAGAGAGGTATGGCGGGCCATGCTTAGCACAGACTCTTGTGCTAGGTTAACCCTGTTTTACTTGCCTCCTCCCAGGGAGCAGGTTGGACTTCCTTCCCCATGAGAAAGTAGGCCCTAGCAGGAAGTGGAACACCAGGTTGATGTGATACCTTGAGCCCTTGGACAGGCAGCAGAGGTGCTCTAGGGTCACTTGCTAGGTTCTCTCTTAAAATGTAAGTAAGTCCCCCATGCTTTCTGCCTAACTGCTTGGCCCTCACCTCATGGTGTAGGTTCATCTCATCATTATAGTGATGATGACAGATGCTTCCTAATGTATCGACAGCCCTTGGTGAACGGGCACAGGTGAGGCTTTGGACAGTGGTGGGAAGGATGAAGAGGCTTGTTGAGATGGGGTGAGACCTCTGTAGCATCTTCTTGCCATTAGTGCTGAGTGCACAGATTAAGCTGTCCTGACAAGTACAAAGGAAGCCACAGAAAAGGAAATACAGGTCCCGTTACATGAAGCATGAATTTGGGCTAGATTTGAGTCCTAGACATCAAGGGCATAACTGGGTATGAAAGTCACTTATGGTTATCCAATAAGAAGGTGATCAGTTATTAGCAATGCAATTTATTACTCCTCTCTGGTCATCTCTTTCTATCCCTCTACTAAGATGGCTACCCTGGAGTCCTGGGTCTGAGCACATTCACTGACCTCAACAAGCTCTATCGCTGAGCTTTCATCCAGAGTCTGCATTTGTAATAGATGGTTTTTCCAACTATTGGTAATCACGTGAAACAAATGTTAATTATAGTTTACATAAGGAAATTGTTTTAATCTCTTTACTGCAACAAATTTTGTACTTAAACAATCCCCCATTTTTGGCCATTGTTTTGTATCAGAAGAAAAAAGTCAGTAGGGGAACAGAAGTCAAACTTTTATTCTCCATGTGGAACTAACACTGCATCCAGATGCGTTAATCTTTTTGCAAATGCAAACATTATCAGCATTAACTACTGATTCAGAAAACATGCCAGGTGTTTTTTGAAAAAGAATATTACTAATAGGCATTTATTGCTTTTTTTAAACAAGCATCAGGAACGTTGGTATTACCCAAAAAAAACCCTACCTTTGAGAGGCCCAGCAATTAAAACCCACTGGCAAGTCAGAGAAACGTATCTGTTGTAGTTATTAAGAGTTCACTGGCCACCCCTCGAGGATTCACTCAGGGGAAGTAGACATTGTATCCTGTCTTTTTCCCTAAATTTATAAGATTAATGGTGATGGACTGAGAACCATGATTCTGTGAATGGAGGGTGGGCACTGAGACGATGAGAAAGTGGAAGGGAGGTAAATCTGCACTGTGGAGAGTCTTTGCTCATTCTCTCCTCTCAAATGTGAATGGCAGGCTCATGTGTCGATGGGGAAGGGCAATTCTCAGATGGCTCTCCAGTATTTTAATCTTATAACAGCCCTCAGAATAGCTAGTTTAAGTACCCACCCACTAGAAGATGAGCATGATAAGGTCAGGTATAGAATACATTTTGCTTCATCTCTTGCATATCTGAGATATAATGTGTGTATTTTTGACCCCTCAACTCAAAAACTCATAAGTACTTTTACTGAAAATCCAATTGATCCTTCACAATTCTACTTAAACATGTAGTCTTTGGTGAGTTATCTCTCCCAGCTCACCTATATTGCAGGGCATATACTGGGTGTTAAAAAGACATGGAAAGATGATAAAGACATGGGTTTATGATGCATACCTTCCCACATTCTATAATGTTTCATCACAACTTAGGCTGATTCACATACCAAGTGGGCTGTCAACTACATGAGCCATTTCCACTGATAAAGAATCCAGCTGGGCAGAGTGGAACAGGCATCTGCTAAGCTCCAACGCCTGGGATAATCTCTTGCTGTTCATAACTACTGAAGGGCCAAAGACTGATTTACTGGCAGTTACATCATTTCCAAAGGCACATGATTTCTCAGACACTTCTCCACTCAGGAATGGAAATATCCTCAAGGCAGGTGTCTGGGATATTAGTGTTCCACATGTTTGAAGAGTACCCAGTGCATGAGCCAGTAACAAAATGGAGTCATCTGTTATGTCCCTACCAGTTCCCACAGGTGATGGATTCCCACACCTGCCATGGCTGATGGGTATTGCTGTCAAAGTAAATCCTAAACCTTACACTGACCCACAGCTGGCCAATCAGAAGTCCCCACACCATTATCCCTGTCATTGCCTGTATTATCTGCGGAGAACACTGGCTTGGTGCAACCAGCTGTCAGCCCAATGTGCTGCCATGGGACTGGTCATCAGTCTGAGGCTTCTCGTGCAGAAAGCCTTCACGTCCTGTCTTTCCTTTCAGCCTGCAACATCAGTAACACTATTTGTTCCATGAATACTGTGGATGTAGGCTGCACATTTACATTTGATCCATAAGATGTGATACATGACCTCATTTTAATAATGGCTGCCTACTCATTTTCCAAATCAGCTAATGAAGACTCACAGATGAGGCAAACTTTTTGTCCCAGGAGACTGGCTGACAACTGGTAGGATATTTAACATCCTTGGTGCCCTCCCCTTAAATGCCTCCCTGGCACATATGCTCAAACATTTCCAAATACCCCCTGGGTGGGTAGTAGCATTGCCCTAGGTGGACTGCATTATGCAGACTATGGCTTGTCATTATTCTGGAGGTGCATGGTATCAACTCCTCAATATTAGCTGATCACAAGAGTGGGCCTGACTCTATCCATACAGTTTTCTATGATTGTCTCCTGTGGTCCCCATAGAATTTCTGGACCTCTCCAGTCATTTACTCTTAAGAAAGACCAGTGGGTGGCGCTCCATCTTTCGGAACACAAAGAACATTATATGCAGGAGAGTGACTCCTTATCTTTTACCTCTCCAGAGGATAAGGCAAGAAACATGCATGTGTAGCTCATCAAGAGAAGCTTGGATTTTATCAAAAGCAGGGCTAATACGTTGGCAATGTGAATTTGAGCAGGTCCCAGAGAAAGGCTGTTTTCTAGAGCCACTACAGGATTTTCCCTGTGGCAACCTAGCAGAAAGAAGGTTCTGTAAAGATAGAGTTGTACAGCTGCTTCTTTGCATAGCTGGGCTCAAGGATGTGCTTTGCCTGATATTTATAACGCTGTGTCTGCTTCAACCCCACTTACCCAAGACAACTTACTAGACCCAGAGCAAACCTCCTTTCCAGCCATCCTCCCTCTCAATTCCTAGTCTTTTTTCTTGCTACATTCACCCCAGGTGAAATTATATAAATGGTGACAATTTCCAGGAAACACTGCTCTCTGAGAAACCCCTCAAGCGCCCAGTGTCCTGCCATCTCTGAGCCAAACTTTTTGGAACACCTACCACCCACTGCTTGTGCCTCTACGATTCTTTGCATGTATCTTTCATAGCCTCCTGTTCTCAGTTACAAATGCATAGGAGCAGGAATAACATTTTCTATCAAAAACAGGATTCTGCATAGAGTAGTAGTTGTTCAGTCTGTTTGCTGAATGAAGGGATGAATATAGATTTGGGCTGCTGGACACACATGACAGACTGAAATAAACAATTTTAAATGAGGATTAATTTACATTTGAATCTCAAAGTGAGAGATGACTAAAAGTTCAGAAACTTGACGAAAAATAATTATTTTCTTACCTTGAGCTGACTAAGCCTAAGAATACATCTAATTGTGCTGACCAACACAGAGCTAAGTAGTGAACAGACAGCCATCATGGACTTTAAAGATGATGAGGACCGAAGCTGTAAGGAAATTATATTCCATTGCTGGTAAATTTCATAACTAGGTCTTTAGAATCTCAGCTCAAAGCACCATCCTATTATTTTTAAATGAAGATACTTATATAAGACTAGATGCCATTTTAGTTTCTGCTGGCTCCCAAAGGCAGTTTTGAGCAATTATCTTTTCTGTTCCATTTATTTAATAAATTCCCAAGGTCGTAATTATGAAAAACAACCCTTGCAAGTATTCTAAAAGGCACATTTATCAGAATAGCGACCACTATTGGAGTTTCTCAAATGGTGAAACAAATAAGCAAAAATCCACAGACCTTGAAGAAGGTTGAAATAAGGAATTTCTTTTTTATTGGATACTAAATGTCCTAGCAAGTTTCTGACAGAAGCATAGATAGAAAATGGAAACAAATACCTTACTGGGAATGTTCCCCTTCTTGCACTAATCTTGACTACAGCAATAAGGCATGATTGCTTAGCCATCAAAGCACACCACGTCATCTGCACAAATGACACAATAAGTGAGAGTGTTGTTCTCAAGGTGGCAAAACATGTGCAAACAGGTCCCACACATCAAGTGCTGGGGCTGAGCACAGATGGCGGCTGCTAGAGCTGCAATATCCCTTTCCAGAGCAATGAAAGCCACTGAGGACCCTCTCTTCCATCTAACTGTTCCACCAGTAAGGTCTTCTTGCAGCATCCATCGAATCTCCTACTTTTATAGCATTCCACTGTCTCCTTTTACAGCTTTTTAAGCAAGATCTGAACTGTGTCCCAACAAGTGCATTAAAATAAGCCCTTATTGGGAGATAGGATGGTGGAGAGAGATAAAGTCAGAGATAGCAGACATGATGGTATTTTGTTTTCCCAGGAGGAATTAGTATAAACCCATGTGTCAACCTATGTGATATAATCAGGGAAGGGTCCACAAAATGCTAAGCATTCATTTGTAGAGTCCTGCCCAGAAACTGCTTCCTCCCAGCATGATGAATGGCTGAATTTTAAGGAAAGCAGCCAGTTTAATAGCTAAAAGAATATTTACAGAGTAAGAGAGAAAAACACCCTTTAATACATTTTGCTGAAGGTGTGCCATTGTGATCTGTAGAAAGCTTTACAGGATGTGAGAGAAGGTGGCAGAGTGGCCTTAGAGAAGAGACGGTGGGAGAGGAGGCCCTCAGGTAGCTGGTGGGCGTGAGGGGGGCAGTTAGGAGCGCTACAGCTTTTCCCCATGGGAGACCCGACCTGGGCGAGAGTCTGAGAGCTGCCCCATGCTGAGGGAGCCTTCAGTCCTCCTCCGGGAGCGCCTGGGGCCTAGGGTCAGCACAATTCTGGCACTGTGCTCTCCTCCATTAGTTCAGGACCTTTTCTCCCCAGCACCAATGCTGCACAGATGCCATCCATGACTAACAGTTTCCCAGCCCACTTACTCTTTCTCAAAAAGGGAGGTTCCTTTGTGTGACAAAATATAGCTATCAAATGACAGTGCAGCTTTGACAGACAACTGAAGACCCCAGCGCATTTGGAGGAACTGACCAAAACCCAAACAAAACAGATTTTTTTCTTTTCCCATGTAAGCCCCACCCCACAACCAGAAAATTATCTTTTGTTTTTTTTCAGTCATAAGAGGCACAAACAGGTAGCAAGAAGGCGTGGTAGAGTGTCTCCTGCCGAGTGTTCCCTTTCGGCCCTGGTGAGGGATCTTGCCTCCTTTCAGGTGATGACAGTGGGGCCCCTCCGGCCGGTTCTCTCGTGAATCTGGGATATTTTCAGCGCGATGGCTATGAGAGGACTCAGCACCGCCTGGAAAGGAAGAAAATCTGTGAAGAGCTCAAGTCAGATACAGGAGGGCCACTGGGATGGGTTTCTATCACAAACATCTGGATTCGAGTCCAATTTGGGGCTTCCAGGCTGAGTCATGTGGGCACAACACCTATTCTCTGGGCTTTGATTTCCTCTTCCACAAAAGGAGACTGGAGAGGGCCAGGCAGGGGGATGGAGGGGAAGATGATCTCCAAAGACTTATCCAGCTTCCCAGAATGTTGATCTTAGATAAGAAACTGCACAAGCCAACTACCAGAGCACTGGAGCATTTCATGGACTCAGCTTTGTGAATTAAGTTAGTTCAGGGAAACCCCCACATCTTCCTCTGCTATACTGCCTCCCCTACATACATGTACACCCCCTGCCACATACACAGCATGAACTTGA